CGCCTAAGGGGGCAGGCGGTTCTGTGGCTTTTGGGGGTTGTTATCAAGACGATGCTGGTCGGAGCCAAGGTGGGTCGTTCCACCCTATAGCCTAACAGATGGGAGTCTTCTGAGGTAGGCCGCGCTGCCTCGTAACCTAGCAGTTGGGGGTGTGAGACCTTGAAGAGTCTTGATATGGAGGGAGGTCGAAGCCGGTTGAGGTCGGATGGCTGAACGCCATCCACTCTGGTTTGGTTTTTGCTGGTCTTCTTAGGACCTTCGGGCTTTCTCTAAGCTTTCTGGCAGTTCTGCGGCCTGGATAACCCTCATCTCGTAAATTATGTGGTGGAGGAGGTCGGCTTGTCGCGAGAAGATGGAGGTACGCTACTACTCGTTATAGGTCCCGGTGAGCCAATTCCTCTACTTCTCTTCTTCTTGCGAACTACATGGTGGAGGAGGTCGGCTTGTCGCCAGAAAAAGAAAAGAAGAGGTAGTGTGCAGGGATGCGCGATGGTAGGTAGGGCTATGAGTACAGGTGGCAAGAACAAGTTTAGCTATGACTGATGGTTAAAAACTAAGATTAGCCTCTTGGTTACTTCTGGGTGGACTATTTCTTTTCTTCTTCTTCGAACACTGTGGTGGAAGAGGTCGGCTCGTCGAAGGAAGATGAAGAATTGAAGTCTGCTTTTAACCATTATGGGATTGGGTTAGGTTGTGTGGGTGCGGCTGCTGTTCTCATCCCGCGAACTATGTGGTGGAGGAGGTCGGCTCGTCGGGGGATGAAGAAGAGTAGAGGGTTGGAGGGAAGAGGGAGGATTGTTCCTTTGATTGTTTCAATGTTGTTGTTCTCGTTTGCTTTGGGTGGTCTTGAAAATGCCTTAGGATTCTGGGTTCTTCTTACAACTCACTTTAGGCTTCTTTGATGCTGTTATATTCATGGATCTGCGGTTTTCCGATGCCAGAACGATGCTGGCCTGTGCTGAGGGTTGCCCTGTAACCTGTTGATAGCAGGAGCGTGAGGCCTGGTAGAGAGATCTGGGGATGCCTTGGGCCGGGTGTTCCAAAGGAAAAC